TAGGGTTTTGAAAACAAAAGCAAAAAAAAAAGCAAAACGTGAGTTTGTTCTGTAAAGCAGAGAGGTAGTAAGATACAGAGGGAAAACAAAGAGAGAACCGGAGTGTGAACTTGGGCGATTCACAAAACAGAATCAAGGAGGGAAGTTTGGTGTGGGCTACTGGACTGTAATAGGAGCAGCAAGAGTTGTTTAACACAACCAACGTGGTCGGAGAAGATAGATGCAATAGTTAGAGATTTTTTATTCAAAGTCTCAAAGGCAAGTCTCTGTTCTACTCTTTCCCTTAAATCTATGTTCTGTGCATGCCTAGCTAGACTCCAGGGGTTTAATGAATGCTAAAATTGAGTAATTATGCATGCTTAGTTGGACTAAAACAAAGGGTGTATGACTTTGTTTTTCGTATTCTTGTTTTGAATAATTCTGAAAATTCTTGATGCACAATTGATGTTTAAGTTTAATCTTTGCATGTTAAAACATCTAAAATAGTTTAGTATGGACATATGGAACTTAGGTTGAAGCTTAGAGACTTTAACTATGGAGTTTTACTTCAGCAACAACTCAGCCGACTAAGTTGGCAACTCAGCCAGCTAAGTTGGACCGCGACCTGGATTTTGGTTTTAGTTGCCCCGAATTATTTCTAAACCTATTTTAATTAATCTAAATGGGTTTAATGGACTTAGTAAGATCCCAAAATGCATCTTATATCTATATATGCTAAGAAGATGGATTGTTTGGAAATTAAATAACTTATATATTGTTTAGATCAGATGAAAGGGTAAATTTAATTGCTCTGACAATTGAAATTAATGTTTAAACGGATTAAACAATGTTCATGAAACGTTATATTTGTTTATCTGAGATGTATGTTAGTGACTTGGAGGGTAAGTTAGCTGCATGTTATTTAAACTGTGGTATTGCCTAAATAAATGCAATACTTATCTGTATAATGTGTATCATATTATCTGTGGATTAAATTGATGTATTATTTTTATATTGCATCATTTATTGGACTAGATGGTTTAATTTTGTATCATAATATTTCTGATTTACTTGATGTGTTATTATTTTGTTGCATAATTTGTTGGACTGGATGGATTAATGCACCGGTATGGGACGGTGGCATTCTAGGGACGGATTAACCGAAAAAGTTAAATCCTACCTAATCTGGATTGAGGTATGGATCAACCATAAAGATTAAATCTATCTCCTACTTGTGTCATGTCAATAAAATAATTATATGACCTATTTTGGTTTCTGGATGGATTGTTATACATATATCAGACAACTATACTAGATAGATGATATTTTGTATTAAGAGTATACGGACTTTATATGTTTATGATATGGTGCCATGGTATGAGCTTGAGTTTCAGAACCATGGTTAGGGTGCGTATATCGCCTAGGATGGATAACTAGACATAGGTATTGTTCTCTGGTAGGTCTAGGTACTCATGCCCACCTTTGGGTGCGTTTTCGCATGTTGCCTTCTATTTAGGTTGAGACAGATCTATTAGACTAGCGAGCATCCTATAGTGTATAATATATACATATATGGACTACTCTAAATATTGTTGAACTATCTAGGATGTATCTGCGTATCGGATTTCTGTATGGATCGTAGTAGGATAGGACTTACATGTGGGTCTAACCCACTCTCTTATTTTTCAAGTGTTCGTCAGTTCCAGGGTTAGAGTTTGGACGTGCAGAGCAAATACAGACACTCATTCCTCCAATTACGTAGGATTGCTTTCTATGTTTAGTTTTAAATTCTACTTCAGTTGTTTTAGTTTTAGTTCGGGATTTTATTAAGGGGTCCACTGGATGGATTCTCGAGTTGTATGGATTGGAGGTTCTGGAAAGTTTGGTTTTAATGATTAACGATTGAGGATTTTATTATTTAGTATTCGTTCAGCGTTATTATTTATTTCCTCTTAATTCATTTTGTAATTTGTGTTCGTTTTAAATATTAATTGTTTGATATTCCCTCGGGTTTGGGTCTGGGCCTGATCAACCCATGTCTCGGATCCGAGGGGTATCATACGCATTATGCGAATGGTGCTAGTATAGTAACGTGGGGCGCGAATCCCCTGCAGTCTATTTCCTGCGGTCCCCTACAGTCTACATTCTTGAGGCCTGGCTTTGGCCACGTATTTTGCAGTTATAATATAAGAGGTGGGGTCCATTTTAACAATAAAAATAGCTTTTTCCGTTATCTCCTTAACGGAGAGAACTTTTTATTAAAAAAAATAAATAAATAAGAAATAACAATTGATGGGTCATCAGCACAATCCCTACAAAACAAAAACCTACACTCATCAAACAAAACAAAAAACCATCTTCTGCCGTCCAAATAACCCTAAACTCAGAAAAAGCCCTCTTTTGCTATCCAAAGAACCCTAAACTCAAGGGGCGACAGAACCTTGAAATTGGAAGCTTTAGGGAGGAAAAAGGTCCAATTTCGCAACAAGTGTTGTTCAAATCTTTGTATTAAATTTCTTTGTATTTTGAACAATAAATGTACAATATTATTAATGCACAATATTAATAACATGTATTAAGACTTACCAACCATCAAGCATTAATTAGGTCAATTGTAGATATCAGCTCAGGTCCGTTGTAGATTTCTTTCTTGTTGATGAAGAGGAGAATCTTATGGAAGAAATTACCAATTTCTGGAAGGTATCATGTTAATTTGGGTTTTGATTCAAAAAAGGAAATAAAAAAGTAAAAATAGAGGAGGGAGGAATTAGGGTTTTGAATAAAAAAGGAATTCAAAAGCAATTTGTTTTTTATGGAACAAGGAGAGACGAATTAGGGTTTGAATTAAAGAAATTAAAAGGAAATAATGGAACAATACGAAAAGGGAAGGAGAGAAATAAGAAAACCAAAAGGGAAGAAAGGGAAAGGGAAAATGAAGAAGCGGGGGTGCCAAAAATTCTGTTCTTTTCAACTTATTTCAACTTTCTTTTTTCCTATTTTCTTTCTTTTTTTTTTTTGTTTTTTCTTTTTGGTTTACAGTTGGCACTTTTTAGCGTTAAGTTTACCATCGTTTGTTGACTCGTTTTTGTTGTGCCAAGCCAAACACGCCTTTCATCAGCTTACAGTAGGGGACCGCCAAACACGCCTTTCATCAGCTAACAGTAGGGGACCGCATGGTAAGGGACAACATGGGATTTGCGCCCTAAAGAGTGCATCAGATAAAACCTTGGGCACTAAATCTATTCTCTTGTATTGATGAATGGACCAGCCCAAAGTTATTGAAGAGTCCAGACCTTGATATCTTCCACTGTAGATGGTAAAATGGGATAACCTCTATTTTCTTTTACAGTGTACAAAGAATGGCGAATTGGGATATAAAACTCCAAAGATGTATATAACAGGGACTTTAATGGAATAATAAATTTGTATATTTGTGGAGACTAATTTTGGTATTATTAAAATATCACTAAAATTACTATGTTTTTTCTTCCTATCTTTTCAAAATCAGAGAGAAAACAAATGAGGATAAGAAGAAATATATATCTCTCTCTATCCTCTTCATTTAACCCACACAAACACACTCACACTTTATCCTCTCTTTTCTTTTCTCTCTCTATTTTTCCAAATCATCCCATCCAAACACACCCTAAAGCACCATGTGAATTAGGAATTTTGTCGAACACCCTCCCCAAATTATGAACCCTAGGCTAGAGCATGGCGCAGGAATTCCTAGTCTTTTCTAGTATAAAATTCTGAAACAATTGTAATAAATTATATAAATTAAACGTAAAATCATATCATTTGACCCAACATTAATAATAATTGAGGAATAAACAATTAAGAAAAGAAAAATAAAGAAAAAAGAAAAAATGTTCAATTTCTTTGTGTGTGTACAAGGTGGCTTCAACCGGAAAGTTACAAGTGAAAAAAAAATAAACAAAAGAAAAAGAAAAAATTATCCTCTTCAACTTATAAATTTCCCTTGCTAAATTAAATGTTGTCAGTTGTCACAAAAGAAATTAAATATTTGTTGTCTTCAACTTATATATATATATTGTTTATTTTTTCATTTCTATATATATATATATATATATATATATATATATATATATATATATTTTAACTTTCTTGTCCAAAATAGAAGTTAAAAAAAAAACAAAGCTACACGGATAAATTTTTCTAATTGGATGACGGTAGAATAATATAGAATTAGAAACAAATATTTAGAGGGAATAGCTCTCAATTTGATACTCCAAAGTTTCTTTTTCATTTTTTTTTTGACTCTATTGTGATGGACTTGATTCTCTCAGTTAAATATTCTCTAAATTATCATGAATTCGCTATGGATTGACAAGCACCGTTTTGAGATAAATAAAATTTACTAAAGTTCAAAAATTATACCGTTTTGAATTAAAAAAAATTCATCATATTCTAACGTCGTTATCTCTCCCTCATCTTTTTTTAAAAAAAAACTCGATTAGGGGAATATATATATATATTTTCTGAATGAGATATTTTATAAAAGAAAAATATGAACAATACAAGTGCATAAGGAGGTATACACGATCAGGGGAAATAACATGGCCGTAGTAAAGATTGGAAAAGAATTTATATATATATATATATATAAAAGAATAGATGTTGATGGAGTCAGAAAAATACAATCAAAATTACTATATATAGAAAATATGAGAGAGAACTTGGGGTTAAAAGAGAAATAGAGATCATCGTGACTTGATTAAGATAGAAATAAAGAAGTGAGTGAGGGAGGATCTTTTTGGAAAAGATGAGAGAGTTTTCAAACTTTGATAAATTTTTGTTATGTGATGTAGTTTTTAAACTTTCGTGATTTAAAACTAGCAATAGATAGATTTTAAATGTCAACGTGTCAATCGATAACGAATTCAATTTAACTTTGAGGATCCAACTCCTCGTAAAATTGGTAGTTACACAAAAAATAATAATAATAATAATAATAATAAATAAATAAATAATAACAATAATAATAATAAAAATGAATAAAATAATCAAGAAGCAAATGACCCCACGATGTCTACTCCTACTGTGTGCGGCGATGGAAGCAAAGCCGATTCTCCGCCATTTTCTCCCTGTCATGCTCCTCCAACTTCGAGTTCAATCCGGAGAATGTCGAAGGAATTCAAAACCCTAGAAATCCATTTCCCCAATAACATCTCGTAATCATACATATATATATATCTATATACAAGTATATTAATATTCGCATCCACACAATGCCAGGATTGGATGTCTGGTTCAAAGAATTTGCTGTGCACGAAGAATCTGAAATTCCAGCTTCGATAGATTCGAATTCGAATTCAATATGCTTTCCCGGCGGATTATTTCTCGAGAACGCCGTTCCTTCTTCAATTGTTGATACAGTTTCTTGGAGAGCTAGTTCGATTAGTGTTTCAAATTCACCACATTCTTCTACTTGCCGCAGTAAACCAGTGGTTTTCGGCGTTCTCCGGCGAGAAAGGAAGGCTCCTGCGGTGGAAGGCTATGAATTCTTATCAGTGAGCTTGTCAATTAAGAGAAACGATGAGGTTCTTCGGAATGAATGTTTGGTGCAAAGTGAAGTTAAGAGCTCTGAGGAGACACGTAGCGATTGTAATGCGGTGGTTGAAGAAGGAAAGATGCCAGAGGTTAGGTTACGAGGCCGCGGTGCTGCGATGAACACTACGAAGCATCTTTGGGCAGGAGCAGTCGCCGCCATGGTCTCAAGGTTTGATTTCTTACTTTTCTAATGCTTTCAGTCGTTGATTTCATTATAGTACCCTGTTGATTGTGCAGTTTAATTATTTATCTCTGTTATGGAAAATGCCACAACATTCATATAGAAACAGTCAATTGCAATTAAATTCATTGATAATTATATTTTCTGTTTCTCCCTTTCATTTTAATTCTTTCTGTGTTGTTTTAACTAGAAACTAGTTCAAAAGCTAAAGGAATTATCATTCGCGGATTTAAGAGGATATCTTTTATGGCGATCCACTATTTTATGATAAGTTGTATGTTAGGGCTGTTTGAATGGAGTAACAAAATTCTATGTGTCATTGGAAAACTACTACAATACATTGTTGATACTACTTCTAAAATAGTTATTCCTGATGTTTTGTTTTGAAGCACCGAATCAGCGTCTTGGAATTGGAATTGGAGAAAATTCAATTTAAACTTTGAACTAATTTCTTCCAATTCCAAATCCAAATCGCGGTACTCCCAAATATAGCAAATGTTTTCAACTGCATAGTCATGGTCATTAACTAGTTGTGCTACATTTGGAGATACATAGTACACTTTGTCTGAAAGTTAATTGCGACTTGTTCTTTGTGAGCAAAGTTACTGTTCTTACATGCAGATATTGCTATGCTCTATTTCTTGTTGTTAATCCGCTCCTAACAAATTAGACATTGTCTGGCAGACCTTATCTGGGTTCACAAGTTGGCACTTTGGTGTGCTTTTGAGTCTCTATGTTTCTTATGTATTTTGCAGAAATATGTGCTTTAGTTCTATTTGCCATCAAGGTTGTACTTCTTTCTTGAAAGCATTGTGATATTGTGATCTTGAATCTTCTACATGTTTATGGGATTATAATCTTCATCAGTTGATTTTTATCAATTGTTTTCCCAAATATTACTTATTTGCCTGACATACTCCATTTATTGGTCTCAGATCTGACAATTGAGTTCAGTTTGAAACCTTAATGTCACTTATACATTGTATTAGTCCAACAAGATGTTGGTTGGATACAGAAAATTGGATCATTTACCTTATATAGTTCACATATTTGTACATGTCTAGTTCTTAAATGTGTTGGGGCTCCCACATTTGGCTTGGGCGCGAGGGGGCAGCTCCCCACCCCCCCCCCCCGGGCGAGCTGTTCCCCTAAATTTATTTTCTTTTTTCCCTATCTCTCTCTTGGTATGCTATTTTCTGGAATTTACAAATCCCCCCCTCCAAAATTTCCCTTTTTTTAAAAATATCTCTTTTTTTTCATTTCTCTTTTACTCTTCTTCTTCTTCTTCAATTTTTTATTTTTTATTTTGGTTTTGAAACCCTTCAAAGTTCTGTCAGTTTCCTTTTCTTATTATTTTCTTCTTCTTCCCTTTTTCCTTTTTTTTTTTTTTTTTTTTTTTCCCTTTCTCTTTTAAAAATTTATTCTTTCTTGCACTCATGTATGGTGTATGCGGAGTAACCTTTTATTTTATTTATCTTCTTTTTCTTCATTAAAATTTATTACTGTATGAACTTAATGTCTGTATTTTAAATTTCTGATTTTTTTACTGTAATTTTATGCAGTGATGACATACTATTTGAACCTTGATTATTGCACAATTATTACACTTATTTTTTGGTTTCCTGTCTTGCTGTACTGGTAGTTGAAAAAACAAAATTGATATCATTTTCTACGTACCCTCCAAAATAAATTCATGACTCCATTGGTGATTCCCATGGATATAGTTGAACCCAGACAATAAATCTTTGCAGCTGGGCACTATCGTGGATGGTTGGTATGAGTTACCAGCTAGTCCTCCTGCACCATCATAAAATTCCAAGGCGGCGCCATATCTCTCGCTGGTTACAGTTTCAAAGATCTTCAGTGTCATCACTTGTAAATCTCGTCTGGTTACTTGTTTGGGTGAATTAGTTACAGAAATGTGCCCTTCAGACACGCACTAAGTGATCTATCTTTGAGCTATTTAACATCTGTTAATGCAATGTGGGAATCCGGAAAACCTTCTTTCAGCACCTCATAAGAGAGCTCTCTCTGTGTGTAAGGGTTTATTGGCTTGACTAATAAAACAAGATTCTGCTCTTTGAAATAGAGAGACATGTAATTTGTCAGATTCTTCAGGAATCTTGATTGAGAGTTTTGTACACTATGTTAGGTGTGTACGTCGTCTTTAATGATCTGCAAATATGTAAACCATTTCTCTCTGAACATATATTAGCATTGCAATAGCTGTCTCTTTTGCAATTGTCATGTCATGCCAGAAAATAAGTTCTCTTACATGACAAAGATCCATGTACTATCCTAAGTTGATATAAAAGAATTTAAAAGCATGGATAGGGTATTTTTTCTTCTCGTTAAGTATTGTGTGCTGTAAAGCATTGCATCGTGATATCTATTTGGCACTATTCCCTAAACAGAATTAATCGGTGTATTCTTTGTCACTGACTGATAAGTTCATTTATTGGAAGTTTAATGTACTTCTTTTACTTTGGTCATCTATGAATTTTGTGCCATTAACTAGTGATGGAAGCTCCTAATATTCTTTTTATGTTATTATTTCATGCTAATTAACTATTTGTATTGCATATTATCTTTAATGATATCAGTCTCTCATGATTAAATAAGTACCTGACCTTTTTTTTCTTGCCATCACATTGCTTTTGAGATTAGAAAATTAGATTTTCCAATTTTCCATTGGTTTTTAAAGAACAACAAAATGGATTTGCGATTTTGAACCAATTATATATTTTGTCTCATACCATTCACTGAATCTGTACAATTTTTCTGTTGTCAGAACTTTAGTTGCGCCGCTTGAGAGACTAAAGCTGGAATATATAGTTCGTGGTGAACAAAAGAATCTATTTGAGCTCATCAGGACAATTGCAGCATCTCAGGGCCTGAAAGGCTTTTGGAAGGGGAACTTGGTGAACATTCTTCGTACAGCTCCATTTAAGGCAATCAATTTTTATGCTTATGATACATATAGAAAGCAGCTTCTGAAATTTTCTGGTAATGAAGAAACTACAAATTTTGAGAGGTTTATTGCCGGGGCTGCGGCCGGTATGACAGCTTCTGTTCTCTGCTTACCACTGGACACTGTAAGTGATAATTTGGGATGTTATATATATTCATGCAAAACTGCTGGAATTGGAACTTAATATTCTTCTTCCTTCTACAAGTAGATTACTTTTTCCAAAGCAATAAAGAACCCCCAAGAACAGAGAGCAACAATAGCAGTAGTGATTATGATGCAAACAACTGCACATATACATATAGCATTTCATTTTTTATAATTTATACCTCACAATTTATATTGTTGCTTTCTGCCTTTTTCTTCTTTTTCTTTTTTTCATATTCTTCTTTGGATAGGTAAAAGAATTATTGAGTATCACCAGGGACCAAGGGTTCATGACCTATCTATGTGTACACATCCCAAAAATCAAAGAAAGGGTAAAAGGAAAAGAAATAATTTCCAAACACTAATTATACAACGCCCTCGAAAAAATGACCTTTTCGACAGCCCCCTTGACCTTCTGCCCTTCAACCAAATGCTCCACCAGAGGCAAAGATGTGCAACTATGCACACTCTCTTATCCTTGAGGCACTACCTTTTCCCACCTTCCCCCTAAATCTGGGGATGAGTTTTGAATTCCAAACAAGTTGTCTATAGTTGTTCAGAGTCTTTATCTTCCTTGCACATGCAAAATATATGGGAATAAACGGGTGTCTATGTGTGAAGTTGTATTTACTTGTTTCAAAACCAAATATATGAAATTGCTGTCTGCTATTAGGGTCTCGGGAGGAAGATCTACAAGGAAGAGAGGTAACAAATCACGATGCTGCTACAAATTAGAGGACATAATAAAATCTCTTGTTAAAGCTTAGGTTCTTATTGATCTTAGAGGATCTTGAAAAGTGTATGATGTTGAAATCTAGAGAAGTCATATGCTGAACTTCTCCATTGAAATATTATACGGACCCTTTATCACCATAGCCCTTCCAAATTTTAGGCTGACACCTGGGCGGTGAGCCGGTGATGTGTTGTCAGGGATAATTTTTGTGTGAATAAAGATTAGTCACCGGGATCTTGTATTGTGGACCTTGAATCTTTTCCCTTGTTTTGAACTTTGTAAAATGTGTTGCAACTTTCTTATTGACTATTTGATGCTTATTTGTTGGCCAGCAGCAATTGAAACTTGTTCCCATAATGACTCTGGCCCATAAAATTGCATTCTTTAATTATTTACTTCTTTTAACGGGAATATTCTGTTATTACATATACTTTTTCTGGTAGTTTTTTTGAGGAACATGACTTGCCCTTTAAATGTTAAAAAACTTTCAGGTACGGACTAAGTTGGTGGCACCTGGTGGGGATGCCTTGGGTGGTGTGATTGGTGCCTTTCAGCACGTGGTTCGAACTGAAGGGTTCTTTTCTCTTTACAAGGGCTTAGTGCCCTCTATTATAAGTATGGCACCTTCGGGTGCTGTTTTTTATGGTGTGTACGATATATTGAAGTCAGCCTATTTGCATTCACCTGAAGGAAGGAAGAGAATTGAGAACATGAAGCATCAGGGCCAGGAACTGAATGCTTTGGACCAGCTGGAGTTGGGACCAATGAGGACCTTACTGCATGGGGCTATTGCTGGTGCTTGTGCAGAAGCTGCCACGTATCCATTTGAAGTTGTTCGGAGGCAGCTCCAACTTCAAGTTCGGGAAACTAAAATGAGTGCGTTGGCAACTTGTGTCAGGATAGTCGAGCATGGAGGTGTTCCTGCTCTCTATGCAGGATTGACTCCTAGTTTACTACAGGTATGTGTGGACACCTTGCTCTGAAATTTTCCAGTACATTTGTGTTGTTTTATTGGTTTTTGTCATAGTTATGTATTTTCTGAGAAATGCTGACATGGTGCTTAGTCATTTCCTAGTTTACTTGAATGCTTTGTAGATAAGTCAACTAAAGTGTTATGGCCCCTTCCTTGTTGTCTTTTGCACGGTCTACTTTGTAGTGCCCCGTGCCCTATTTCTTCGACTTTTTTTTGTTGTTGTTGGTTTAACTTGGGTATTTGTTTTTACAAGTATTGCTATCTGAAGAATAAGGTGTCCTTGCTCCCTTGATCAAATTTTCAGTGGCACAAGTGTTTTTGCTTCCTGTTGGAATTTGAAACTGTATTAACTTCTTCCATTTCATACTTCATATATATATATATATATATATATTTCCTTAGACTGCTACACCACTTCATATTTGATGAGAAGATAGCCTGTATTTGTTCATTGATAGGAATTTTATTTGAGGAGCGGTTCTTTGTTGTTTATTTACACGTATCAATGTTTACATTTTACTTCTGTTTTGCATTTCACATTAAAGATTGCGATTAAAAGTTAATCTTTGTTTGGAAGCATTTACTGTTCATGCTGCTGTACTGCACATTGAATTGTAGTCATGATTTTGTTGACTTTTGGATCTTGCTATATTATACCAATGTTTTGATGTTAAGTTTTTAATTCTTACCTCTTACCCTGTTTATGATGTTGTGAATCTTCAGGTATTACCTTCTGCAGCAATAAGTTACTTTGTCTATGAATTCATGAAGATTGTTCTCAAAGTTGAATGAATTAAGCGAGCATTTCCTCTAGATAGGGTGAAAATGGTAAAAGGTGACACACTTCTTAACGCTTCAGATTGCGCTCTCTCTGTCTCTCTCTCTCTCTCTCTCATTAAAGAAGATTAATTGCCTCTACTTCACAACCACTTTCTTATTTCACGTCTTGATGTTTACTGGAAATTCCATTATTCTTTATCAGTCATCAATATTCCTACTTTCACGCTTCAGAAACTTGATTCTGATAACGACGTGCAATTTTCAATGTACTTCTGAGCTTCCACACCGGGAACACATTTTAGCCTTAGTATAATGTAAAGAAGCAATTGCAATGAGACAGCCTATTTCTGCTATTCACCCGGCACTTGTGCTGAATCGACCGTAGTTTGGATTGTTTTCGTGTTAATGTAATGAAGGAGGAGGAGGAGAAGGAATGGAGAGAGAATGTCAACCACTTTATATTACAGCATGTGTGTATCTAATTTTGATTCCTGGCTTTGTTTTGTACAACACAAATGGCAATCTTGCACGATATTTACATTACTCGCAGTTTTGCTCCGCCTTTCATTGATCACACAGACAGTTGTTAGTCATTACCGAGTATGCCAGAGGGTTACGCTTCTGTTTTTTTTTTTTTTTTTTTCAATATTCAGTCTTGATCTAAGTCACATAAAGTGAGAGCGAGAGTAAATTCAAGAGCGGGAGCATGAGAGCGGTCAAAAATAGTGAGAATTTGCGCCAGAGGGCGCGCGGAGCGTGAGAGAGGAAGCGCGCGAAGCGTGAGAGCGACACCTGTTGAGAAGATTATGCGACTTAGGTTTTGATTTTTACTTGAATCAATGGGCTCTTAGATGTTTGCCTATTTATTAAAAAAAATTAAATTATTGGGTAGTGTTATATATCCACTCATTTATACCCAATCACTTTTTCATTCGAATTTGATGAAGATCGTGCACTTGGTATAGCAAGTGGGTCTGGCTCTGATACTATCTGTAACGGATGGAACAATTTGTTCATTGACTCAAAAGTTTAAATTATTAAATAATATTGTATATTAATTCATTTAGATTTAATCACTTTCACATTTGGATTTGATGGAGGACAATCTCCTCTTATAACAGTAAGCAAGATGAATGCTGAGTCCGACCCGATCCGATCGGGTTGGGCTACCCAACTAGCACCCCTTAATTATAATGATGACAAATATAGTTTTCAGCGGACAAATTTTTACTTGTGCATTGTGCACGCGTCTGCTTTGAAGAAGGCTACAGATTCCTATTAAGGTCAAACACCTAACTTGTTGTACAAATTAGTTATCTCTTTATTATGGATGGAAGCGGTCACATCAGTGTAAACTGATTTTGATTTCTGGCAGCTACTTGTAAAGTTTTGATTGGATTTGTTAACTATGAAAATGCTGATAATTTCGGTGGGCTTTTAACACAAACCAAACAGGGTTAGTGTCTGAATGATTGACAACTTTAGAAAATTGACTTAAAAATCTGTTTAAGATTTATCAACTCAAAAAGATTTTTTTTAGTTGGAACTCACATGTACGATTTTCAAAAAGGTTAAAATCTCTGACCTCTTTTTAAAAAATAAAAATATTATACCACTAAGCTATAAATCTATTGGTAATAATAAAAAATAATTTTTTTTTTATTTAAGAGCACATAAAGAGAAAAGAGCGATGATTTAGAGACAAGTTATCAAATTCAATTTATTTGAGTGTGGTGGTGGGTCTCATGATGTCACGATGACATTAAAGCATTTTTAACAGCATGTTAAAGACACTTTTTTATATAAAATATACACGGTCACGTATAATGTGTAATATATATTTTTATCTCCAACAGTATGTTATCAGCATATTTCATTTCTTCTTTGAATCAATCCTATATTAACTAAGTTTGTAAAAATTATGTGGGGTCCAGACATGATATTTATTGGTTGTTATTGGATGATATAGTTTTACACAAAACCTATAAAGCAACGAAACTAAAAATAAATAATCTAAAATTTTTGTGTAAATCTCTTATAACAAATCTACAAAAAAAAATATATATACAACGGTTAGAGATACTTTAATCATTCTAGTTCATCACATTGAGGCCACGGTAAAGACATAACAAAAAGAGCTACTAACGTGCGCTGCGTAGGGATGTTGTTTCAGCCGGTAGGCGGGCTCTATAATTGATCAACTCCACAACAAGAATTTGAAGTAAAAGGGCGCGTGCACTGACACCCTATCTAGAGTAAGGACCTGCCTTTCTTTTGATACCATTTATTTGAAAAATGAGCAAGTCTGCCATCACACTCACATAAATTAAATTCGGTAATTATTGAATTTAATTTTTAAATTATTATTTTAACATAAATAACAATTTATTTGAATTGAAGTAAAAGAAAAAAACTAAATAAATAAAAGAAACATGAGGGTGATTTATCTTCTTCCAATTCTGAAAGCACATATATATATATATATATATATATATATATATGGAGGAGAAGAAGAAGAAGAATTTCGCAGTAGTACCTTCTTATTCATATATACTTTCATTTGGATTTGATGTGATACAAGACTCTTAATTAGTACAAAATTAGTGTAGTTAAAATCTTGATATTTCACTTTATAACTTGATTCATGTACAAAATTAGGGGACCTAAAACCTTGGCATTTCACTTTATAACTTGAAGATGTACTATTGAGCTCAAGATGTTTACAATTTTTAATAGATTGTTTTTACAATTTAATTTGTCTGTTTTTTTAATCATTCAATATTGGGAGTGTATTCAATAAATTCCTTACACGTATCAGACGATTGAAACCCATCCCTAATCACATTCACTTGATGCCCCCAAATCGGAAATGCATTCACATCGAAGAAACAACGGAAACAGAACTGAACTTCTTTAGACATAGACAGAGCCCCAAATACGTCATCGTTTGACTCCTCCAAAACCTTTTTAACAGACGTGTAAGCCCTTCACTCGCCTTCGATAATCTCCAAGCCCCCTCTCTCATCGCTTTCAAAAACTTCCCACCAAGTTTCTCTGCTACGAAGATTCTCCACCAATTCTTTACTTCCTGAATGAAACCCTAGCAATCCACAATGTCACCGTCCGGCGGCGACGGAGCAATCTCCGCCGAAGACCGCTGCACGTGCTTTTCCGGCGAGAATGGTGACGATCGAGACATGTTGGACCGCCGCCGGAGCTGTCAGCACTGCAGGCGACGGTCCGATCTCCTGTCTCCGTCGTCGTCGTCGTCTTCTCTACTCAGCTTCGATCCGGTTCCGTTGAAGGACTATGATAAAGTGTGGAGGATCGTTACAGCCTCGGCGAAAGGATTCACCATTGGAGCAGGTCTTAAAGGTGGCCTCGCTCTCTTCGCAATTCTTGCTCGCTTCAGACGCAGACAATTATTGACCTCTGCCAAGTAAAAATTATTCTCAATTTTGTGTCTCTTGGATTCGATCTACTTGAAACCTGAGATCTGAGATTATATATATATACACATATTATGTGTGATATTTATCTGTATACGTTTGTGTTCATTTCTTTAATATTTATTTACCGGTTCAGGAAGGTTAGCATGGTTTCGAGCAGTGACGATGTGATTTTGGCAGTTAAAGAAACTCTCAGATATGGTCTCTTCCTCGGCACCTTTGCTGGTACATTTGTTTCTGTGGATGAAATTATAGCTACTTTGGGAGGAAACCGTAGGCATGACTTTCTCTCTGTCCTCCTGTTTGAATTTGCTAATTTTCTACTATTTTGCTATAATTGTTGAAATTTTTAGTTTACTTGTGAGGCTAGTGGTTAAATTTGATGTTTGATTAATTGAATTGATGATTTTGGAAGTATGATTGGTAAAATGGTTTTCTAATTCAGGACAGCAAGATGGAGGGCTTTATTGGCTGGGGCAATTGCAGGGCCTTCAATGCTTCTGACTGGGTTAAACACACACATGAGCTTGGCTATATACATCCTTATGCGTGCTGCTGTCTTGGCATCGCGCTGTGGAATAAAGAGCAAGAGATTTGGGCACATTTGTAAACCTCTCACTTGGGCACACGGAGACATTTTCCTCATGTGTCTCTCCTCTTCACAAATTTTGTATGTACCTTCCTGCCAAAATATCGTCTTCTATTCATTTAGCTGCATGTTATGTTGACAATGTTATAGTGTGTCTCATTTTCTTCTTCAAATCAATTGTTAGAAACACATATTTTGATATTTTAGTTGGCATTTTAACCAAGAATATCACTTACCAAAAAGTAAAGTAGAAAAGAAAATTAAGCACGCGTTGTTTTTCACACTAGGAAGTCGCTGATGAAATTTTTCCAAATTACTAAGTAGTTTGCCAATTAATTTTTTTGTTAATTAAAAAAACATGCTAAGTGACTTCTTATGCCAATAAGTTTGTTGAGGGTGATTTAGTGATGAAGATCTGGATTCAAGTCAGCTGCATGTGGACCCGCTAGCAATGACAGTTAAACCCCAACCACTATTCTTTACACTCTTCAATGACTTTTTGTAAATCTTTTATCAATCCAATCATTGAATTATTTTTTTTTAGTCAAATTTTTCGTGCGTATCAAATATCAAGACAAATACCTACCAAATAACAAGTCAATCATATATAAGTAAGTGTTGTGTTAGGCGGTTCTGGATCTCTAACTAATTTAGTTTTTGATGGGTTTGATAAATATGAAAAGGATATTCATTTCAACGGTTGGACTGCCAAAAAGTGAATTTTGCAAGAAATTACCGATAGATGATTGATTGACTTATTCTTGCACAAGGGGTGCATGGATCCCTCTCCATATATGCGTATCCATATACATATTTCTATACCCTCACACAAACACAAATTCTTTATGTAGAAGCTACCTTTTATTCGTCTGGGACATCTGGGTGTTGTTGGGTTATTATATGCATTTGATATGTTTGCCATTCATGTCAAGACTCAAGTATCAAATCAGTTAGACACAAGCAAGACTTCCAATCCATTAACTTATATTTTTCTAATAAAATTCTAGAATAAAACTCAATTCTAAATCATGATGTTGGTGACAGTATCTTTGATGAGTCTGGTCCCTGATTACTTGATTTTTAGTATGCATGAAAAATATAAGGACACTTTTGGATTGCTGGAAAATGAATCTTACAAAAGAGAAAAAAGACATATTACCGGATGTAAGATTAGCCTTTTCTTACACTAAAGTGTAAATGGTTCTCTTTCTTCTCTCTCTGTGGTCACCCTCTCTCTCTATATAGCTCTCTGTGGGTTTCTTTATACATTGTACATATCTATGTAATGGTAATGCTTCTGTTCCATATCTCAAATTATGAATAATTGGTTGGCCATCCAAATCATTCATTAGTGATTAGTTTGATAACTATTTATTAAAGGATCTTAGTTATAATGTGAAGTGAAAAATAGAGGAAGGGGACAACCTTCATACCCAAAACACAAACCTTGAATCATCAAGAAAGAATAGGAAAACCTAATTAGAAAACTCAAAAGTATTGTTCTATTGACAGCTACGTAGCTGTACAAGGTTTTTAGATCCAAATTCAAATCAAGTCCATGATAAAAGGGGCTTAGGGATCCTTAAATTACAACAATGTTGAAAAATAAATTTGGACTTATTGCCAGGAGGTCAATTTGGATTTTATTTCGTGGAGTTAAATACTGGAAGTTATCTACATACTATGGATGTTAATATAAGACATAGAAAAATGATTGGCTGGCTGAAGGGGCCAGCGGCCAGCCAAAAGGCTTCCCAGCCACACAACTGTTGATACCCAAAGCCTGGTCCCACACTGACAATTGTGTGGATGGGGAGCCCTTCGGCTCCCCATTTGCTGTCTATCTTCATATTTTCTTTATAGTTTTGGAGAATGCTTATGATATGGTACTTAAAGATATGGTATGGAAGAAATGATAACAGATAGATATGTTGATATGATAAAGGACATTTGTCATGTCTGATGAAATTGTGATTATTCTTTATTTAATGTCCAGAACTCTTTACCAGATTGTGTCAACAAGACTTGGCTTTAGAATTCGGCTGATGACTGAGGAACTATGGTCATCTTAATTCCTACAATATTGTTTCTGTTAAAGTTATGTTCTTTTTCAGGTCTGCTTACATATTGAAGCAAGATAGTTTACCTCCATCATACCAGTCCTTTCTCAATAAACATGGAGGAAAGGATTCCATTATCCTGCAAGCTGTGAAAGAGATAGCATGTGGTATTCCTTTTACTAATTTGGAGGTGGTAGAGAAATATTATAAGACCATGGGTGTTGACATCAAATTGGATCCGCAAATGAAAGTCCCCTGCTCAGTATGCACTCTTGATCTTGCACTTTTGTTTCTCTGTGATAATAGTATAGGGTATCTTGTACATCATATGCCTTCCTCTTTGTCTTTCTGTTGTGCTGTTCCAGTGTTCTATAGTTCTATGTAGACTGTTTCACACTTTGCCAACCCAAGAAATTGACACTACTATACATGTAATGTAGAAAGAGTCCTTATGATCTTTCAACACAATGTCATCGACCTATTATACTCATAATTTTTTGTACTTCCGCTGTGCTGAGATTGTTGCACTTCATTGTATGAACACATACAAAGTGCTCAAACTTAACCTTAATTTGAACAAATGCTTTGGTAGGGATATGGTCTTGTGGACAACGTGGATGGCTTTAGCTTTTATCTAAGATTAAGATATAGGACTGTCCCCTTGTGATAATGAAGAATGAAAGCTAAATCCAATGACTGTGAACTGAGACTCTGTTAAATGTAATTTTAATTAAAAAAATTGAATAGGATACAGTGACAGACTTGAGGGGGGAGACCTCTTATTTGCCAACAAACTTTCAAGAGGTTTAGTCTTTTTAGTTTCTGACGGTACTAATCAAATTATAGTATCAGTCTTCCCAAACTGAGTAAATTCGGTATGTTTATTGTTGTATCCAATGTATCATGTAAACAAGTTGAGAGTTCAATTGATTGTACCTTATATTTTCATTATTTATTTATTTTTTTCAATTCAATAAATCAGATATAAGTACATTTTGATACAAAACCTTTTGGGTTTTGATATACTGCCTATTTCCAACTGGGACGTTGATTGAAAAGAGGAAGCAATCCTAAATATTAGCGAGGATTTGAAACTTAAAAAGGGGTGGATGCGTAATAAAATATTGGATGCTGATGGTGATAATGATTCCTTTATAAACTAGGCACAAATATGCAGAATGGGTGCGTGTATTTCCAACTGTTATTGGATTTGACTTAGAATCATATATTTGCAGATTCAGTTAATTTCTCTATAGATTCACCCATGTTTCTTCTTCAGACTTGCTTCTTCCTGAATCTTTTACATGGCTTTTCATCTCACAAATAGACTAATCGATCAATGCTTTATGCGAGTGCCTGTAGGCATAAAGCTAAAGCAATCTGTTGGAAGTTGGAATTATACTCTCAAGGTTCTCTGTTGTAAATGTATTTATCCTCGAGATACTCAGCAGAATTCTTTCTAATTTGTGTCTCTGGCTGCTGAATTATTTAACTATAATTTAATAGTACGATTTATTTAACTTATTAGTGTATTTCGCTTGTCATATACTTTTTAATTGCTGCTTATTATCGTCTAAACTTCAAGAACTGTACTTTTCGTAACTTTATGCAGATTATACATGGAAATCAATCATGTAGTGGTCATCTTGTCTCATTTCTTATACAAGCCTACAAAAGAGCATTGCCAGTTTATCTTCCAGTTTATTTGATTCCTGCATTAATAGTTCATCGTAAGGGACTCATGAAAAGGTAATATATATTGTTATTTCTTCCCAAATTATATAGTTCTCCTTACTTCTAAGCTTAAAAATTGAATCTTGAACTTCCAAAGTTTGAAATAATCTATGAGTTTTGAAAATTTTTGAACTTTTTTGCATATTTTTGTTACTTAGATTTAACTTAAAATTTTAATTTCTTTGTATATTTATATGAATAATTTGGAAGCTTCATATCTACCAAAATTTCAATTTTTTTGTCCTTTTCTCAAAGAAATTAATACTTATCTTTGATAAAAATTATAAATGATAGTCCAATTTTAAAGACCATGTTATTATACTATATTTATTTTAGTTTTCAATATTTTTTTTCAACTCATAATTGTTTGTTTGTTTTTGTAATATATGTATATGTCACGGCTCTGAATTCATTAATATGTCACTATGGTGTTAAAGAATTCAATAAAATTAACTAAAAATCCATTTTTATCTAATTTTGTTTAAGTTCTCCAATGGTAACCAAGTATCTAGGTGCAAACAAATTTTTTTTCTTGGTCTGACGTGAAAGAGGCCAGTGCATTGTAGCATGTTTGGTAATAAGGTATGACTACCATAGCTATTGAGTGTTGGGAAAACACTTTTTAGTTGACTAACCAGAGTTATCCTATTATTTATGCCCTTTCTCATTTTAAATTTAATGGCTGGGAAGTGGGAACACAAATTTTAAGACTATTTTCTGCCCTTTCTTATGTCCATTATGATATATTCCTCTCAATAATACATAATAATGATATGGTACAATTTCTACTTCGATATATATATATATATTCTTTAGCTTTTATTGATATGAAGTATGTATTGTTATACTATTCTTGTACTCTTGGAAGCTTCTCCTCATTTCTTGCTTCTGTCCAACCATTTGCAGACCTTACACAATTTTGGGAAAAGGTCTTTTTGGTACTGCAAGATCGAGCTTGTTTCTTTCTGTGTATTGTTCATCTGCATGGTAAGCTTTGATTGGATGTATTACAATGTTACTGTTGACCTACATGTTATTTTCAAAAAAAAAATGTAGTTTTCCTCACACATACGGGTGAAGTCATGTAAGTGCTTAATGTATATATTTGAAGTTTGTGCGAATTAAGTGATCACCCATTTATACTGATTGGTGAACATAAATTGGTTTGCTGGAATCCATATGTTCTATTTTGTTCCAAGTTTCACCTTTTCAGAATGATGCAAATGCGACATTCACTTGTGTTATAGTTCCTTTATTTGTAGGATTTTTACTTCTTGCTCCCTTGAGTAATTGAGCACGCTTTGCATTGGCAAAATAAGACAGAAATTAGTTCTAGCGAAGTTACTACCATCATAATGCCTTGAGGGAACGAATATGATATTAGGTTCATAATTTGATGACTGATGTAATCTTCAATATAGGAGACATCCTCTTCATTTGCTTTTGAGGTAAAAAGTGATGGGTGACACTCAAAATTCGATATTTTACAAAAGAACAGAAAGTCAAAAAACCATTAATGAAAAGAAGTGAATAACAATAGTCGACTGTGGATACATTAAGTTCGAATTTAATTTTGATATTTGAACGTGGTTTGACTTATAATCAGGTGGGATAGTGTATCATCTTGGGACTTGGCCGGCCGAGCAGCCTATGTTTCTATGTGGGTTACATTGATGCCCATGTCTTCAGTGTTTGATGTATTTAAGTGAATTTCAATGCCCCTTAGTTTCCGAGTTAAGTTTGATCATTATTTCCACATATAATTTCCTTTCCTTTGTGGGTGGAAATAAAAACTACTAATAATTGCATACTGATTTTCAACATAGTATGCAATGTGGAAAACTTTTTGAGTGTAATTCGTTTTACCAAGTGTTTTGATTGATACAGTGGCTAAAGATTAGGTCAACGGCCTTTTGGGCAATGATATACAATTGATAGACTTGTTTAAGTTTGTGTGGATGCTCTTAAATCTAAGTTACACAATTCATAGACTTGCATTTTCACATTTCTAGAACTTTTGAATTGCTCAGATTCTATTGCAAAAAACCAACTAATGGTGTGTTATTCATTAGGATGTGGACATGCTTCTTGTTCAGACTTTTCAAGAGATGTAATATTCCAATGGTGGCAATGGGGACGGTAAAAGGATTATTTCAAAAAATTTCTTTTTAATTAGCAAGAAAAAATATGCTTTGGTTTGAAGCTGGTCTTGTGTTCTTGGGCAGTTCCCAACCGGCCTGGCCTTGGCTATTGAGAAGAAGAGCAGGCGGATCGAGATATCACTGTACTGCCTTGCACGGGCTATAGAGAGCTTCTTCACATGCATGGTGGATGTTGGATATTTACCACGGTCGAAGAACCTAAAGAGAGCAGATGTGGTGGTTTTCAGCATTTCAACCGCAATCATCATGCACTGCTACGCGATAGAGAGGGATGTCTTCCGATCCAAATACTTGAATGTTCTTGATTGGGTATTTGGCATTCCTCTTCCGCCAAGTGAAACCCCTCGTAAGAATATTTGAGGTAGGAAAGAAGTACCGGCGAGATTTTCAAGTTTTGTTCTCTTATTTGAAGCCTCTCCTGGAGCAAGTCCAGGAGAACAGTATGTAATTTTATTCTGATTGCATAGTTTATTTACATCCGGTTGAATAATTCATAGTTATTTTTTATGCTTGTAAGTTGTAACTTTTCAAAAGTGGATGGAATAAAAATTCTCAATAGTGGCCTTTTTTTCTTGTCTTCCCGTATGGATTGATAATGCATTGCCTAAAGTCTATAATGGACAACACGAGGGCCCAAAATTACCAAATCAGGCTTTGCTCATGTTTGGGACCCCTCTCTCCAAGTAAAAAAAATTATTACGGAATCGAGTGTGCTCATGGTCGAGGCCCCGGTCTCTCCCCTAGTAAGAGAAAAAAATACCATTTATGTACCTAAAATGGGTAGAAAATCAAAGAGGTTATGAAGTCTTTTAATGTCTTGAACAGCTCTCTCATTTTGATTTCTTCCTCTATTATTCTTATTCTCTCTCTCAATCTCTTTCTTAACCTCTTTCTTATTTGCTAAATCATTTTCCAATTATTTGTATTTGGAGTTTTCACATACTATCATATTAACTTAAGTCGGTCTTCTTCCTTTCCCTTTTATTTATTTATTTATTTTTTTTTTTTATTTTGCACCACCAGGCCACTGGTCGGTCTTCTTCTCCCTCGGACTCTTGTCACTTTTTCTAACCAGAAGTTCTTTTTTGCACATGAAATTGATGTTTTGTAATTGGAGAAAAATCGGTTCAATTTTTAAGCAAACTTTTTCCCTTCAATTCCAAAAACCTAATATAAACCCTGAGTTTGGGAGTGCTGGTTCGAGGTTATATATATATATATATATATATATATATATATATATATATATATATAATGAGTTTACATTTACAAAAGTAACAAACATTGTGATATTGCAATTCAGATAATAATAATAAAACAAAAGTAATTTGAGCACCAAACAAAACCCACGAAATTCATGAACAAAAAGGGAAGATAAATAAGGCAATAATAAAATTCAACCAGCACAAAAACCCTAATATTCCATTCCTTCGTTCACCAACAAAAACCCTAATATTCCCTCCATTCATTTTCTCAATGAAAACCCACATATATGTAGTAGAAACCACTCAAATCCACAAGTAATAGGTGGAATGTGATGATGGATCAGACCTCGTCTTCGTGGAGGAGCATATTGGGGATTCCCTTATTGACGGGGAATCTCCGGGCGGTCTCGGGGCAGACAAGGGCACCCTCCTCGAGGTGGAGCTGGAGGAGTGCGTGGTGGAACCGCCTGAGGAAGTCGTCGGAGTTGAGCATCGACGGCTCGACCTCGTCGGGAAGGTCGGCGTAGCCCATGGTTCTGGAGGCGTCGAAAAGAGCCTTCCAATCGATCTTGGAGAACATGTTCTTGAGGAAGTCCGGGTTGAAGTCCACCTGCTTTTCCACCACTTTCTCCACCTCAATCCGCAGCGGGAAGCCGTTCGTCACGCCCTTGATGTTCGACGACAGCATGTTGTGCGTCAACAGCCTCATCTCTTTCTCTCTCCACAAAACGGATCGCGCCGGAGCTGCTTTGGGTCGCCGGAGGTAAAAAAATCGCAGGACCTGTGTGAGTCTTCCACACTTCGTCAAGGAGAGAGGAACAGACGACACAATCTAGGGCTTTTACGTTTTTTCTTATTTATTTATTATTATTATCATCATTATCTTTTTAACTTATATTGGGCCTCAAGCCTGCAAGTATACTGGGCTTTTTATCTCCTAATGGAACAAGTACGAGATATTCACAACTCTTGAATATGGACACACCCGCTAGAATAATTGAGCGTTTACGGATTAGACCACCAAAATTTTCTGGTTGCATTTTAATGGGCTACCAATTTTTTTTTTTTTATAGGTTGCTCTTTATTTTGTTATCCATATAATTAATAGGCTTAGTCGCCCGGAATAAAATATGCGTAAATGGGAAAGATGAGGGCGGGGCTAGCACGGGTCACTTTTCTTCCAACAGGCAGGAATGGAATTTGAGATATCAACCTGTCTTGGGTATGGGGCCTCATTAATTAACCGGAGTAGGGACGGCTTTAGGCCAGGGAGGGAGGCACATTGAAGGCAAGGGGGTAATTGCTCTCACTGATTTTTTTTTTTTTTTACTGTTATATATCACTAAATTTTTTTATTTTTAATTATATACTTATAAAATTTTCACTTTGACATTCTTAAAATTACAAAAAAAAATTACACTAAATCCACTTTCCCTCCCCCTCCCCTCCCCTCCCCCAACTTCTTGGACCCGTCCCTGATTTAGGCAAAACCCATCCCATATCTCCGATGCCATCCCTATCTATGATCATAGGATCGATTGATTCTACAACTCTGATCGCAATTTTGACAACATTATTTTTAAAGCTCTCATCCTTAAATAATATTGTAGAGGAGGTATCTATATGGGGTTTCAACCTTACCCGATTTGGTTTGTCCTCTTTGGAGTAGCCTTTAAAATGGATTAGAACGTTCCCAAAACTGATTTTCTTTCTTTTTTTTTTTTCTTTTTTTTTTAAAAAATTATTAGATTAATAGATGCAAAAAGTACTCCAAAGTCCACCCAGACACTAACTCATTGGGCTATTTTTTCAATGATTAAGTAAATCAAAATTTTTCTTTTCTTTCCTTTCCTTTTTTCTTTTAAAAAATTATTTGATATGCATGAAGAATGATTAACTAAATCAAAATTAAAATTTTGATATTTTGTTAATTAACTTGGGCCATATATATGGATTTGTAGGTTAGTCCAAGCCCACTTTAATCATTCCGCGATCGGGCCTATAAGGTGATTAGACATTTAAGAAAAGTTGGAAAACCCATTCTAAAACTAACAAAAGCCACATCGTAGAAAATTAAGACCCTGTTTGGCATTCACTTTTGCATTGTGTTTTTTTCTTTCTTTATTTAGACAGTGTATTGTAGTGAAGCAGAACATGAAAGTGTGTTTCGAAACATTTGTTGCGATTTGAATAGTACGGAAACATTTTTGAAAAAGAGACTAAAACCAGTTGATTTCGTACAGTAACAAAAGCACTATAGTGATGAAACCGTACCCAAAAAGAAAACTCTTAAATGATCTTTTTAACTTGCATTTTTAATTATTTTTTAAACTTGTAACATCATTTTATCAAACATATTTTTATATTTTTACTTTCAAAATTTTACAAAAAATCTACGTTAACAAATATACTTCCAAATAATATTAAATACACTTCAAAGTTCAAAGTAGAAAGGTATTTCCATCTCGACTGAAAAGCAAAAACACGAAAAAAGTGCACTTGCCAAACATGCCCTTTTCGGGCACAAGACTGACAAAAAGTTTGTAGTCAAAGTTATAGAAGAACATGTGAGTGGGACCTATCTTAACTTATAAAATAATAAATGTGTCCCACGTTTGTTGGCATAATCATTTTGGATCGTTCACGTGCCACATTTAATTTTTGCTGAAAAATAAATTTGATTTTAGAATTATCTTCTCAAATATTTGCTACACATGATCGATATGGGGCTTAATCTAATTTGGGTTCTTAGACTAATAATAATAATAATAATAAGTAATTTTTTCAATAATATAAATAAAATTAGTCATAATTTAAAAACAAAATATACAAATATATATACACACATAAATTTATAATAACAAAAGTTAATAAAATTAATAAATAATTAAAGAAAAAGAACCATTAGAAAATCCAAATCCAATACTTACACAAAATTTACAATCGAATAAAAATACGTTCATTACAACTGTAAATTTGTAATGAGAGTGGGAAGAGAAGACTTGTTAAAAAGAAGAAGATAAAGCATTAAAATATATATATATATATATATGAAAAGTTTTCGCCATTTTTTTCCAAACAACAACCTTAAATAGATATTTAATATTTTACTATTGGTGTAACTTATCCAAAAATATTTTTAGTGTTGGCGTTAAAAAAAGGGGAATGACAAAGAGAGAAAGAAAGATTAGTGGGCTTAATATTAAATTTCTATATTGGGTAGGATTTATTGTAAAATGCGAATGAAAGTAGAAAAAGGGAGGGAAAAAAAGTCATATAAGGTGTAAATCTTTAGGGACTAATATTAAATTTATGTATTAGTTAGAATTCAACGGAAGGAGAAAGGAGAGATAAAAGAGAAAAAAAAAAATTATTTTAGGATATAAATATTTTGGACCTAATATAATTTTTTTATATATTTTTTAGAGTTTAGCAATATTAGGAAATAATTATAATATAACTTAATATAAGAAAATTTTAAAATTTTGGGGCCTTCCTATTGGCTTGGCCGACCTTGATTACCTGTTTGATAAAATTTAAAATTAAGTATCAAAAAATTTGAAAGTTGAATTTTAAATATTGTTGACAAAAAAAAAATAATAATAATAATAAAAGAATTAAGTATAGAAATTTTTAAGTAGTAATTAAAAAATAAATATTTGTAATATCTTTTTAAAATTTTTATTCCGTGATAAGTGATGTCCTTATCATTTAAAATTTATCTCATCTAAAGTGTACTCAGCATTTAAATTGTGTTATCAAATTACTTAATTGATAAAGCACTTTATCCGAAGAACTTAAAGAAAATTATGTAAAGCAAAAAAGTATAAGATTAATTTAAAAATCTGTCTTGATTTAGTGAGAGTAATTTGTCATTATATATAAGTGATTAGAGATACATGCCTTCGAAAGTCTTTAAACATGTAATCTAATCGTTTTTAAAAGTGGAATGGTAGAGTGAAATGAAATATTTTTCAAATATCTATCTCTCTCCACTTTTCTTCTAAAATATTGATATTTCATATTTATGTTACTTAGCATAATTATTTTTAACAAAAATTATATTAGAGCAAAGTGGACATCTTTCTTATTATTTTCTATGTAGCTGTACTGCATCGAATTGTTCGGTAGGCCATCTAATACAATACAACATTTATATTATACTGCATAAAATCTCAACTCGATAACATAAAGCAATAATCTTGTCACACGGCGAATCCCGCATAACAAAAGGTCACTATTTGAATATATTAACGTTTAGCATTGAAATTTCAAATCTTAAAACAATTTGGTATGTGAATGTCATCATCAGTGAACTTCATAATTTATCTTCAAAAGGGAGCTATTTCTTCAAGGTAGTGATCCTCTAAACTTCTGTTGAAATAGCATTGAGAACCTAACCAAGTGCAAGTCAAGAAGCCAAATGTCTATATATATATATATATATATATATATATATATATATTCACATGAGACACTGCACAATGAAGAGAAACATAGTGGTAGATTACAAATTTTCCCTTTTACTTAATATTGGGCCAAAAGAGATCAATGCTCTTATTGCATCAAGTAAATGTACTTTTTATTTTCGGTTTATATATATATTTATTTATTTTACTTTCTCTATGGGGGCTTTCTTGGAATTGAGGGTTGATTAACCATTTTTTCCTTTACAGCTTAATTGAATGACATTTTTTGTTAGGTTGAGAGAGAGAGAGAGAGGGAGAGGGAGAGAGAGAGGGGGGACCATGACCACTCACGCAGCTAACGTACAGACAAATCAGATGGACTGGTCGTAAGGATGAGGCCAGGGCCACACCAGTCACCACATGTCATAGGCAGCACTTCACCACCAGTTCTGACCACGTGTCTTCCACGTGAACTTCTACTATGTAAGGTTATAGTAGTATATGTTTGAAAATTCCAATTTTTTTTTTTTTTTTTTTTTTTTTTTTTTTTTTTAAGTATGGGTATCGCGTACTATTTAAGTTAGGAATGCGATTCAAAAGCGTGACCTCAATGACTTACCTTTCGAACCACTGCCGATGGTTGCTGGTGTGAAACAATTTCATGGACTTTGTATTGAAATTTGTAATATTTAACTTTCGGTACTAAGGTCTGTTTTAGAGTTAAGTTGCTTTGTTATGATCTGAAGGGCATCATTCAAATTAGAGACGGATCGAGAAATTCAAGTGGCGGAGGGTAATATTGAATTTTTTAAATAATTTAAGGGGGCAAAGGTAATATTTCATTAGTATATATATCAGAATGACAAAAATAATAGGGCATAATAGTGAAGAAAAAAGTTTTCCGGGAGGGCAATTGTCCCCCAAGTACAACATGGGTCCGTCCCTGGTTCAAATAAAAAATAGTCCCCGCATGCATAGATTAGATTGCATATATCTGACTCTTCCTAAACCTTACAATGATTCCAGTTTCGTGCCCTGAGTTGGCCTTTATTTATTTATTAGTAGAGTCCTCTTTGGAATCTTTGTAGATGGCACTTAGCTAGGGTTTCACATGTAATGCACAATTCTTGTTTCGTTGTCTACTATCCAACTAACAGCTATAAAGTTTTGAACCAAATCCTTCGAAGCTTTTTTAACTTTTGGTATTGGAGTGCTCTCTGGGATGTTACTGATCTCGTCAGGGCTTCACATGTAATGTACTATTAATCTTGTCTGGTTGTCTACTATCCAACAAACCAGCTATAAAGTTTTGAACCAAATCCTTTAAGCTTGTACTGGAGGGTCTATATATGTATTAGTTTGGGTATTTTGCAGGACTACTCATCAATGAGCCTTTGGTTGCTTCCTCTTTTCTTCTCCTCCAATGGCTCTGTGTGTGTGTGTGTT